CAAAGGAAAAGGTACAGTTACTATAGGATTTGGAGGGAGGGTGGAGTTTAGGTGAAATTTAAGTGAAGCTGTTTTTGGTAGACTGAGCAGCAAGCAGGGCCGTGTGGGAGTCAAGTGCAGTCTGGCTGGAAATGTGGACGCAGGGTTCCGTTTCCCTGGAGACCGCAAACTGAAGGTAAACAGGTAATGCTGTTCAGACACCCCTGTGCGGAGCCCGGTCCCAGGGTTAGAAAGCAAGGTTGCTGCTCAGTGGCAAAGTGACTTGGGTCCCTCAAGCACATTTATCCTTTACCGCTGTAATTTCCAACGGCAGTTTCTGACAGCTTATGATTTTAGAGTACAGAATTCCTTGGTGAGTAAAAAAGCAGTCGTCAAAGAAGGGAGTTGTTCTGATAGTTTGTGCATCGTCCTGGGAAAGAAATATTGTTTCCTATTTGCAGTTGGCTTCATCTGCGTCTCTTATTCTACCTAATGTGAAGGGGGGCAGGCCAGATTGTTACTGCCAAGCTAAATTTCACCTTTCCAATGTCAATTGTAATTCCTAGCTTTTGCTTTTTAAAGACGTAGGTCCTGAGAATGTGAGCCACATAATTCCCCAGGAATGAAAGGAATTTCATTATGTCATCGCCACTCAGATTTTGGACCTCTTTCCAAGTTATATGCTAAAATACACACTGTAATTCTGCATCGCATTTAGCGATGTGTTTGTTGACAGTCCTATCAGACCAGGCCCTCTTTTGGTTTTATGGAAAGCAGGAACGAAATGGCCCTTCATTGCCTAAGGATGCCTTGTCACCCAATCTTTAGAAACCATTTATTGGCTGAGATCTACACCAACATTTCAAATGTCCCTTTATCTGGCCCCTCGGACGTTTTCACACTCTGGGATAAGGCATCATGGTAAGATTTGGGTGGGGGAGGGCACCAGCTTGCTCTTGCAAAGTGGGAGAAGGATGGATGTAGAAAGGAATTCTCAAAAGTCACTTTTTTAGGAAGGAGAACATGTGCAAGTTGAGGCTATGGGAATTCCCGGAAGGTTCTCTGTGACGGGCTGTAATTTTTTAGAAGTCTGCAAGGGACTGTAACTGTGCATGTGAGGAGCTTTCTGGTGGCAGGAGGAGTGGAGATGTCACCTGGTTGGGGATGTCCGTTAGCTGCACTCTATCCTGACAGAAGAGTATTTGAGGTCTCAGGCATTTATGATCTGTGTTGTGTCAAGAATAAGCAATATGGGGGTGCCTGGGTGGCTCAGTCGGTTAAGCATCTGCCTTCGGCTCAGGTCATGATCCCGGGGTCCTGAGATCGAGCCCCGCATCGGGCTCCCTGCTCAGCGGGGACCCTGCTTCTCCCTCTGCCTGCCACTCCCCCAGTTTGGGCTCTCTCACTGTCTCTGTCAAATAAATAAATAAAATCTTTTAAAAAAAGGATGAACAGTATGAATATTGAATTACCTTGAGCATGTGCTTTTTCATTTTTAACTGTGCTCAACGGGCTTTCTTCTGAATACACTAGAAAATCCTGCTTTTCCAGGATCCTCTGAATCCTGCATTCAGAGATGGGCGGGTTTTTTTTCTTCCTGTTGTATTTTTCCTTGAAGGAAGCAGGAATGAATTTTTCTTCTTTCTCCCTCCTCTTTGCTCTTTTTGCTTGTTTTCTACTTTCTGACTATACGTCAGAGTTAGTCATAAGGTCCAACAGCTGGCTTGAGAGTCCTGTTCACTCAGCTACAATGTTCATGGTCTGTGTGGTACATGAGGTTATTTTTCTCGTGTCCTTAGTGCATGAGAATGCTGGGGTTTTTAAAAAAATTATTTATTTACTTATTTGACAGAGACACAGCGAGAGAGGGAACACAAGCAGGGGGAGTGGGAGAGGGAGAAGCAAGCTTCCCGCCAAGCAGGGAGCCCGATGCGGGGCTTGATCCCAGGACCCTGGGACCATGACCTGAGCCGAAGGCAGATGCTTAACGACTGAGCCACCCAGGCGCACCCTGAGAATGGTGTTTTAATTAGTATACAGACTTCGTAAAACTCAACACCTTCAGTTATGAGGTTGGCTATACAATCACAAAATGCACTTTGCAATTATGTCTCCCCTATCCCTTAAATAAAATTTAGCACCTAAATTCCAGGCAGTTGCTTTCCCAAAATTCCCTTGATCACTGGGATCAACCCATAATGAAATGTCTACATCTAGAGTTATCAGAAACTAGATGAAAAAAGGGAGAACAAAGCTCATAATACTGTATTTGTGAGAATTGGGATTTTGCTTTGGATGTAACTAAGAAATGTGTGACTTGCTGAAGTAGCCCTTTCGTGTTTCTGACTCTGCTTATTTGTCCTATTTCAGGTTTCATTTCCAGGGGCCATGTGGTACCACTCTTCCTGAAGCCCTTGCTCCTCATGAAACTGAAAATGTTTCTTAGTCGCCCTGGGGAAAGAAGAAATTGTAGTATGTCTAAGTACCAGGCCACAAACAGAGGAGAACCAATCATGGGGACGGTGAGCTAAATACTGGAAAATCTAAAAATACCCTCTGATTCCCTGGCTGGAATCCCACCTGATGATAAATGATGGGGGCCTAGAAACAACAATAGCAAATATTCTTAGAAGAAGTCAGAGAACAGTCAAAGTTAATGCATCTTATTTTGTGTGGACTTAAACATAAGATATCTTTTATGTGTTTGGTTGGTTACTGGAAAGGGAAAATTTTATAATTAGATTATCTTTTAAAAAAGTAATTATCCTGATTGAATTGTTGCGATCTGGACACACAGAGAAGTAGAGGGGTAAAACCTTGGTATTTCTGATTTTTGCCAAGTTTTGATGGAAAACAAAATCACTGTCTACAGTAGGTCATTTATTGTATAAAGATCTTACCCCAAGAGATGTCTTTGTTGGGGGCTTTTCCTGTTCAGTGCTTACCATGTTTGGCTGCCTTGCCTCGCAGTGTGTGGGATAGCTTACAACAAGAACTCATGCAAGGAAGGAAGGGAAAAGTATCATCAAGATAGAAAATCAGGATGAGTAAAATAAATGATGCAAATATATGGACTCCAAGGATAAACACAGCTGCCTAAAATTGACCACTGGCCTCCTTAGCAGCCAAAGAGGAAAGGGAGATGTGATGGCTGACTATTTATCGATATCACAAACACAGAAGCATTACGGTCCCTGCGGGGGCCCCACCAAGCTTTCCCAGACACTGAATTCTGAAGTCTGTGGTTTTTTTTTTTTTCCCCCACGAACTTTAAAAAATTACCCTCATATTACCTTGGAATCAAGTAGTAAGAAGAGAGCTCTCTGCTCAAGCCTCACTACTGAATGCAGCCCCCAGGGCCCTAGGAATGCCTGCTCTGTGGTCTGACTGGGAGCAGTGGCCTTTAGTAAAGAGCGTAGGGAGGTCATATATGTGCAGGTCCCTTGGATCAGATCAGCTCCCTGGGTGATTACACCTCTGGGCCACATTACCTCAGCCCCTTACAAAATTACATTTAATGCTACACCCTGGGCTTTTGTAGAAGCAGGCAAGACGCAGTCACATAAAACTTGGTCATAGCTTTTAATAAATCCCAAAGGTTCTTTGCAGGAGCAAGAGGGATGTTCATAACTTACAAGGAGTAGGGCTCCTGAGGGCTCGATTCACACTTTGCGTGAGTGGGTCAAGGCATGTACACAGAGGGGGCCTCTTATAATGCAATTTTTCTACCTGAAATACCATCATTCACTGTTAATAGGTTTGTTGGGCTTCTCAAAGTTAAATCCATACATTTTCCTAGTGTTAGCAATGATGAAAGTCAGCACACTGTCTGAGCGAGTCTGATTGTATTTTTAATCTGTAATTTCCATCTGACCAAGGCCCCGATATTTCATAACTGTTCTTTGTAACTCCTCTCATCCTGGGCCTTTGGTACCAGCAGCTTTTTTTTTTTGGTTGGTTTTCGTGTTTTGCCATTTTTGTTCGTGTTTTGGTTTCGTTAGAGAGGATGAAAAATTTGAAAATGCAAACTATATGTGATATTTAATTCAATTTAGTATTTACTGAATGTCTACCCTATGATAGACATTAGAAATAAAATGATCAGTAAGATATGGACCTTACCCTCAAGGAGGTCACAGAATGGTTGGGACAACGGTCATGTGAACTATTTTACAGATTGGAAACTACAGTAAAGAAATCTGTGCAAGATGCAGAGGAGGATGCAATTAGAGATGGGCGGAGTGGGGATGGGTTTAACGTTAAGGTGCTTGGAAGCCTTTAGGAGGAAGTAGGGGGCAGTTTTTGAAATATAAATAGTTCCACATGGAGGAGTATCAGCAGAGGAAACAGCATGTACAAATGCATAGCAAATGGGCAACAGCTTGGTTTGTTCAGAGAGTGATGAGTCATTTTGTGTTGTATAATGGATGGGAGAAGATAAACACAGAGATCAGGAAGGGCCGTGGATGCCAAGAAATGAAACCTACCTGGGGTTTGGAGGGATAGAAGCAGCGCTAGGGTTGCATTCACTAAGTAATGGTGAAGTCATTCTTTCACAGATTCAGGGTTTGCGCTGGACCAGCCACTGTTCAAGTTCCTGGGGTTAGAGCAGGGCAGCAGGCCAGGACCCTGTTCTCACAGAGCTTACATCCTAATGCAGTAGTCAGATGGTAAGCTGTTAGGGAGTGGTGTCGGTGATGAACGGAGGCGTGGACAGTGCAGGAGCAGGTGGTGAGGGAACCTGGGAAACGGTGGCTGAGGCAGCCAAGCACACGTTTGGTGCTGAGCACTGATTTAAGCCTGCATCTGTCAACTTGTTCCTGTCAGTGCCAGAAGGACTGAAAGGCATCACGTCCTGTTGCCATGGCACAGTTCTTCCCTTCGAAGGAAATGCCACTTCTTTGGGGTGCGGGGAGTGAAGGGGGCCCAGTCCGCAAATACTGATTAATTGGATCCAATGTGAAAATTAATAAAGGGAAGTCTCACTAAAACGGAGTCGGGAGGTTCGGCAGGGGGAGGTCTCACGCTCTACCGCTTGTCCTCACCTGCAAATCCAACAGGAAGAGACGGTGGGCCTGGTAGGTGAATACCGCTTTATTACCAGACCTGGTAGGTGGATAGGGCCTTATTACCCCAGCGGGGGGAAGAAGGGCTTTCCTCCTCCCCCGCCCCCCGCAACAGCCCAGCCAATGAGAAGCCACCCTATTTCTAATCCCCAGTTTACTCCAATGGGCTTTTATGACAGCCTCCCCCAGCTTCCCGGCTCCTCGATAAAAGAGAATCCGCTCCTTAGTTTGGGGGACTTGCCGATGGTTTTGCCAACAGCTTGCTTACCCGGCAACTCTGCGATTCCTGAGTAAACCCGTTTTTTTGCTGGTAAAATAACTGGCAGTTTTATTTTTTAAGGTTAACTGGACCAAGTGGGTCGCGGTGCTAGGTAGGGCCACCGGGGCTTGTGGTCCCAGGTTTCTGGGCCCCTGGACGGCACAGCCCGTGACAGCGGGACTGGAAGGGGGGGGGCCCAGGCAACCCTGCTGTCAGCTTCCCAGCGGAGGAGCTCTTACGAGGCTCTCCCCTCCTAGAAGCAAGCCCCATCCCGATCTGCTCTCACTGCGGGAGCTCCGGCCGCTTATTCGGGACGGGGAGAAGTGCACGTGGCGTCCCAGGCGGGGAAACCTCCCACAGGGGAAAAGGAAGCACCCGCCATCCCGCCCCAGCGCTCGGCTCCCCTTAGGCCACGCCCTCCCCCGCTCTGCGCATGCGCCTCCGCCGTCTCCGCATCTGCACCTGCAGGGGGCGACGCAAGTGGCGTCGCTTGCTCTCCACGTCACGCTGCGCTTGCGCGTTGTTTCGGGGTCAGAGGCCAGACGGTCGGGCGCCGCGCGGGTCATGGTGCAGCTTCGGCCGCGCGCGTCCCGCATCCCGGAGTCGGCGATGGTGGACGAGGGCCAGCCCGCCTCCGAGGAGGAGGAGGAGGCGGCGGAGCACAGCCTGTTGCTCGGGCAGCCCAGCAGCGGCGCGGCCGCGGAGCCGCTGGAGGAAGAAGACGGGGAAGGGGACGACGAGTTGGACGACGAGGCCCCGGAGGAGCTGACTTTCGCCAGCGCGCAGGCGGAGGCACGAGAAGAGGAGCGGCGGGTTCGGGAGTCGGTGCGCAGGTTCGGAGCCCGCCGCCGGCCGGGAGAGCCGCCCCTTCCCGTCCCGCGCGTGTCGCCCCTTACTAACTTGTCCTCTTTCAGGGACAAAACGCTCCTGAAGGAGAAGAGGAAGCGACGGGAGGAGCTGTTCATCGAACAAAAGGTTAGAGGGTAGGGAGGCGTCTCCCCTTAAAACCCCGGGCCGGGGTGGAGTTCCCCTGTGGTGCCACAGCTGGGAGCCTGGGGCGGGGGGAGGTCGCTAATACGCCTTCTGACAACAGCGAAAACGAAGGCGCTCGAGCTCTTTGCTGTGCAGCGATTGAGAACGGGAGTGGGAAGAGTCGTGAATTCGAGATTCGGAGGGTTCATCCCACTTGGGACAGCTCACCATGACAGCCTAGTCATTTAGTCTCGCGGAGGCAGTTTCTTTATCCGAAATTGGGTTGCTGTGAGAATTACGAGAGGTACTTTGTAAACCGAGGGCTGTACTGCAGAGAGTATGATTGCTTTGCTGTAACGCCTGGCAGATGGGCCACAGAGGACGGACTCCGGGTGGACGGGACTTAATTGCGCTCAGCGTAGAACTGCCTTTCGGGTTGGGATACAGTGGGCAGCCTTCCCAGTCTTCACCAAGTGCTTCCAGAGAATGTGGAACAGTTTCTGAGTTTCGTGGGCCCAGTCTTCCCACAGCTTAGAGGTCGTGGGGGCAGGGCTCAGCCTAATTCACTCGTCTAGATTTTAGTAAAGCTGTCCTTAAGATCAGAAACTTCAGAAGCAAGTCGGGGCATACGGTCATGCACCTCACTGCTGATTAATTCTTAAATGTCTTTAAGAAAAGAAAACTCCTTCCAGATAACATTCTAGAGAAGTTAACTACAGCTGGACAGACTAAGTAAGTAGTGGATCTTTGTTACATACACCAGTCTATGAATTACGTACCGGCCCACACATTTATTTGAGTCCACATAATAGAAGTAATAAATTAAAAAGCTACGCAGTAGGTATCTGAATTTGGTGGGAAAGGTGGAGGGAATTAACTCCACTTTTCAGTCTTTTACCACTTTCTGTTCATTCCTATAGCTAACTTCAGCTTCTGGGCTGATTCCAGGGTATCAGTCAACAGATGCTTGTGCTCCTGTCCTTATACTAAGGGAGGGTAGATGGTGGTGAGTAAAAGGGAGTCTTGAAACTTAGCATTTAGTGGAGTAGCAGACATGTCCACAGGCTCCTGAAGCTCCTCTTGTCCCATACTTGCCTTGGCTGCTCCCGCTTCATTTAGCAGCTTTGCCCTCTGTTGATGGTTAAAGGCAAATGTTGTCGTCCTCTTCCCCATCTATCCCGTGAAATCAAACTAATAAATTTAGACTTCTAAATATTGGGTAATTTCTTTATGCCCCCCTTGCTTCTCCTAAATGCTTTTTTTTTAAATTAAGATTTATTTGTCAGAGAAGGAGCACAAGCAGGGGGAGTAGCAGGCAGAGGGAGAAGCAGGCTCCCCGCTGAGCAGGGAGGCAGACGCGGGGCTCGATCCCAGGACCCCGGGATCATGACCTGAGCCGAAGGCACACGCTTAACCGACTGAGCCACCGAGCCGTCTCTCCTAAATGCTTTAAGTTCAGAAGTTTAGTCCTGTATTTTTTACCTAGGCTGCTGATTCTTAAATTTTCAGTAAAAGAACTTTTCCAAAGTTAAAATCCTGAATATATTATACATTCAGATGCATTTGGTGGCATATTCCCCCTTCCCTCTTTAGAAACCAAGCTCAAATGTCACCTCTTCCTTCTCTTACTACCCCCCATCCCATCATCACTTTCTCCTTTGTATAGCTTTTCTGTCAAGTGCTTCTGTATGGGAATCTTGTTGTATTTTATCAGATTAATTTGTCTCTCCATCCTTTTTGTGCCTGAACTGCTGAGTTGATCCCTTATGATTTCTCTAAATAAAAGGATGCCGTCCTACCACCTTTCACTTCGTATTTTGAATACTGTTATGTAATTCACTTTTTTCTTAAGTCTTTCACTTCAGCTCTTAACTACAGCAATCTGTTATTGAAGTTTGCTAATACGCTTTCACAACTTTCTGAGAAGATACTCCATCCTAGTTATATACTAGTTTGGGAACTGGTAGCAATTCCCAACTTTTGCTTTCCAAAGTTGGGACTTTTGCTTTCCAAAACTGATCCTGAGTAAAAACTGAGGTGGGTGGTAATGAAAGGGGGTATCTTATTTATAAAGCCCGATGAAATTGTGTAGTAAGTGGAGTAATCTTTGCTATCTGCCATACTAATCAGTATTTTTATTGTTCTTCCTTAGCATAAAGAAATCATCAGGAAAGCTGAAAGAAGGTATGATCTCTTCTGATTTAAATAACTTCTCGTGTTAAGTGTCAAGTGCATTTGCAGATATTTGCAGCCAAATGTTACTGGCCCTGAGAGAGTGTAGCTTGGACCTGTTCTCTATTTCTTACAAATAAAAATTGCATCGAAATTGGTATGAGTGCATGTTTAAAGTGAACTCCAGTAAATGTTTCTGCTTTATTTCTACATAAATTACTAAATTGAAATAAAATTTTTTTAGCTACTTTGCAGAAGAAAAAGGAAGAATATGAAAAAGGAAGTGTTTCTAAGAATGTTAAAGAAAAGGTACAAAAAGTACAGTCTGTCGGGTAAGAGTCTTCTTTTTTTTCCACGTAGAATGTAAAGGTGACCGGAGGGAGTTAAAGTATTGGCTTATGTGGAGAAAGATGTTAATTAGTAGTGGTTTCAGATTAGATCCTCTGTGGGAAAACCAATTCTGATATTTACATAAGAACATTTGCATGCTTAAAACATAAATGTTAATCGATTTCTAGTAAAATAGCCCTGTGATTTAGTTTTATTCATCATCTGTGCATATACAAATTTAGGATTTTGGTTTTTTCACTTTTTGAAGTAAGAAAAATGCTTTTTATTTTCAAAGTAAACACGTTATCAGACTTGCTCATTTTGACCTTTTGTGTTGGTCACCAGCCAGAATAAAAGCTACTTGGCGCTAAGGCTAAAAGATCAAGATCTGAGAGATGCAAGGCAGGAAGCCGCGAAGGCTTTTATACAGAATTCTTTGTATGGTCCAGGAACCAACAGAACTACTGGTAAGTTCTTTACAGACTGTTCTCTCACTTTTTATTGCAAATTAAAGAAATGATAAATAATTCTCTTTTCTAGTAAATAAGTTCCTGTCTCTTGAAAATAAGAGATTACCAGTGAAAAAGGCTGCAGCTCAGTTTCTGAATAATGCTTGGGGTAAGATCCAGTTTATTCTCTTGGTTTTTTATGTATCGAAAAATGTTCTTTTTTAAGGAGACAGTAAATACTTAATCATGAAGCATCAATGTTTTGCTTATAATAGCTTCTACATTAGTATGTTAAAGTTGCTTCTGAAAAACAGATTAGCGTGATATGTACGTTCATCTATACAATCTGACTTAATAAACTTAATTTTAGGTATTCATAGAATCTTGAAAACTTTTGAATTATTTCTTGGGAATTTTATATCTAATACTCTTACTGCACAAAATTTTCTATTTTAGGAACCCAGAAAAAACAAAATGCAAAGAGGTTTAAAAGACGGTGGATGGTCAGAAAGATGAAAACTTCTAAGAAGTAAAGCTAAATGAAGAATGAGAACTTGTATGTACTTGTATGTATAGTACTTATGTGGTTTACAGGGTTAGTTTTTCTGAAAATCTAATAAATCATTTATAAATGGTTTTGTGAAGGGTCATTGCAAAAATCTAGATCTTTTGGGGGAAGCCCCCCCCCATTTCATCCTTCTGGAGTACAATGGTGCCTTGTCGTCTTTGAGGACTACGTAGAAGAAAACGCAATTTAAAAGGAATTGTTTTTCTTTTTACGAGCCTTTATGCATTTAATTGAAAGCGCGTCTCCCACCTGGCGGTGCTGGGTGCTGGGTGCGCCGTAGGAGTGGCCGGGGGGAGGGGGGTGCGTGGAGAGGAGAAACAGACACCTAGGGGTTTTCAGCCGCAGCTCTCAGATGCCTTCATCTTGCAGATGTTTTGGTGCTTTGGTGAGAGTTTGTTTCATAGAATACAGACTAGGAAAGAAGTAACTGAGAGAGTGCAACATCTAAGTATAAGAAAGATTTCTTCTGAAAGAAAACTGAAGCCTCAGTGTACATACAAAGTTAACAGTCAGCCAAAGGATATGGTTATCTTGGTTATTTTACGGACAAGCCACATGCCATATTGAGTTTTTACAGAAACAGATTTCCTGTTCTCTGCAGCACCCCCAGTGTCAGGTTTGACCCTAATCCAGGGAAGGCCGATACACTGAAGGCAGTCTGAGGTTGTGGAACTCAGATTTATAGTAGAAACCATTCATTTTAATTGCTCTAGTTTTAATTAGAAGTGTGCAGGTACCTGATATATAAACTCAATTGACACTCTAGTATCTGTAATAGTAAATTTTTAATGGCTGGTTAATTATATCACTACATTTTTATTGCAATATAGTACTCATTTAAGCACTTAAAAATGGAAGGTGTACAAAGATTAAATTAAGACACGGTAAATTGACTAAATATTTGGTTTTTATATAAATAAAGGTCATAACCACACTGTTGACATGTAATACTGTTATAATACAACAGTTAAACTGTGAGTCTACAACAGAAGTCGTCTGTAGTTAAACAGGAAACAAAGTTGAAAAAGACCATGTTAAAACAAAACTACTGGGACTAACAGGTCGGGATTGTAAGTAGCAACAAACGTATTCACTCAGCTCCTGAGTATTTCAAGTTTTACAGTACACATTAAAAATGATTTCTTCCATCAACACTATAAATTCAAACTGTCGGATGTTTATGCGTTTTGCAAGTTACACTGATTGAATGCTTATATGGGAGTGGGGGTCGGAGCATCTCCCGATTTGAAGTTTACATCACCCACATGCTAACACAAACACAACTTGTTCCATTTCCTTCCCCCCTCTCCCCCAAACAAAGGCGGCAGGATTTTTTGGTTTCTTTCAGGTAATTGTTTTAAAGGATTTGTGATGATCAATTTGAACGTCTGAAATTCAGTAATATTTAACTCTTAGACAACTAAGAGGTTAAAGATGGAAAATAATTTCTCCTAACACCAAGTTAGAAAATCATTTGCATCATGCTGTAAACTAGGAAGCAATGTAAAGCGACAAAAACCTGTCCCCAGTACATAATTAAAAAAATCTAAATTTCAAATCAGCAGAGCCGGTCTACTTCCATGTTGACTATATGCCACAATATACATGTGAGCTCCTTAAATGCATAGCTAATGTAGGTAGTCTTCAACTGTGGCAAATGCACAGGATCCGATTCCTGATCGAGCCATCAGTCCTAGACATTGTGTGGCCTGTCCCATTGCTAGGGCAAGTGGAGGCTGCTTTGGCAGATTGTGGGTTTCTGAGGAAAAATGATTAAACATGGAAATAGCAATTAGCAAGACATTTTCTAAAAACTTCTCAGTTGGGAAAATAACTGCATTACTTTAAAAATTAGCAATGCCTACACTGCTCTTAATGACCTAACTAGCGATGGGAATTTCTGAGCAAATGATTATTGTCGTGGATATGCTACTCTGACTAGGTAATATGGGTAGTGGGTATTCAACTGTTAAGAGAAATTCTTGCAGAATTAAGTTTTTTTAAAAAAAGTTTTAGATATTAACTATGACGGGAAAGATGTAATTTCTTCCCCGATATTTACAGTGAGGAGTAAGGAATATTCAGTATTTCTCTTCAACTTGACTAAAGTCAGCTGACTTACCAAAAAAAGACACCAGGTTTTCAGTAGAAGTTTCACTGCTGGATTCTCTCCCTTCTGGGGAAGAGGACCCAACTGAGGCTAACGGTCTCCAAGGCACATTGGTGAGTGTTAACTTGGTTTCTAGGGCCTGATGATGGCTATGAGCAACGACAAAAGCAAAACCACCCTCTAATCTTGAAGGGAGTTAATTTATAATTGGTAGACAAAATATTTTAAAAATTGCCAGTAAATTAGTTTTCAGGATAGATTTCAGGATACCCAAAATTTGTCAAATACAGTACAGATGTAGTTAATTACCAGAATTTGTTCTTTGCCAGAGATGAAAAAATGAACTACTGGTCAAAGTGGTCAACCACCTAGAAGCTGGTGATCTCTCCTTGGGTGGAGATGTCCACATTTTAAGTTTACGTAGATTCCCAATTAATGCAATTACTAATCAGTCCTTTGTAGGCATAGTTGATAACAAAGAGCAAAAACCACAATACTGGCTGGTAAGGCTTCATATGATTGAATTTGACTCCAGATTCCAAGTTTGCAATGCGGTGGGAGAAAGAAAAGATGCAGACGGAATGGAGCCAAAAGGGGGGGAAAAAAAAAAAGCAAATTCAAGATTTAAATATATAAGAGCAAATAGGATCAAGAATGTAAGAATGAAAATATGCAAGAAAAGGCACAAAGACTGGGGAGAAAGTATGGTTTGAAAAGTGGTCTGTGGGTTAGAATTAATAAGGTCCTGGCTATTATTTGGCAAGACCCTATTTAGCTGAACTTGGATGGTGAAAAACATTTTTTGCCAAGTCTAATCTAAGCAGGACTTTTACAGTTCTGCCTTGAGTCAAGAACAATTTTTTTACACAAAATCAACATAATAAAAGGAATAAAAACTGAGAAGGAAACATCTCAAAAATGTCTCTTGATGGTTTATAGGGAAAAGTAACCTTGCTCAAAGGTAAGCATCTGGAGGTACGCTATTTTATTTTGGGGGTGGGGGTGGGTGCATGTGGTTATAAGCATTTTTAAGTTTTTTGGAAATAGAACTTGCTGCAATTACAATTAATATAACAACTTTAAGCACTAATTAGAGATGAAACTGAGATGAAACTACAGAAAATAGCATGATATTTATAAATACGCACATTTACCCACAGCAATTTACTAATCTTGTCATTAATTTTGTAGGAATTATATCAATATAAATTTAAGTACTATTTATAGCTGAACCTACATACTACATAATTTGTAGCACAGTATATAGGAACACATATATCTTGCATAATGGTCCTAAATTTAATATTTAATAATTGAATTCCCTTAAAGAACCCAAGATACAAAAAATTCGTAAGAAAACTGGTTACTCCAAAAATTCTTTCTAAAAGATGTGGCATGCACACACACACACACACACACACAGTGGGCTATTACTCAGCTGCAAAAAGAGAATGAAATCTTGCCATTTGCAACAATGTGGGTGGAGCTAGAGTGTATTATGCTAAGTGAAATAAGTCAGAGAAAGACAAGTACTATATAATCTCACTCACACGTGGAATTTAAGAAACAAAACATGAACATACGGGAAGGGGGAAAAAGAGGGAAGCAAACCATAAAAGAGTCTTAGAGAACAAACAGGGTGGATGGAGGGAAGGTGGGGGATGGGCTAGCTCGGTGATGGGCATTAAAGAGGACATTTGTGATGAGAATCACTGAATTCTACTCCTGAAACCAATGAGACACTATATGTTAACTAACTAGAATTTAAATAAAAATTTGGAGAAAAAAAATAAAAGGAAAATTCTTTCCATGTCTTGAGTGATACCTATATATGAAGCTTAAATTAAGCCTTCATGATTACCTATCCATGTAGTAATTTCAAAAAGGCCATGATAGTAAACCATAATTTGCCCTACAATCCCAGCATTGCTATTAAGTTCTATTTGTACCAGTAGAGCTAAATTAATTTCATATAACCAAAGAGAATACAACACATTAATCAATGAAAATTTACATTATTTATTATATATAAATTCTAAATCTAAGGAAACAACACAAAAGATGTTTTTAAAAATAAATAATTCTTATTCCCAAACCCCCCACTATTAGATCTTAACACACAATGAGTAACAGTTGACCCTTGAGAAGCAGGGGTTTGACCTGCACAGGTCCACTTCCACGTGGCGTTTTTTTGGACATAGCACAGTAACGCAGATGTATTTTCCCTTACGGTGTTCTTCACATCTGTTCTCTACATTTATTGTATGAATCCAGTACATAATGCATATAACAACACACAAGATACGTGTTAATCAAGTGCTCATGTTACTGGTAAGGCTTCCAGCCAACAGGAGGCGATTAGTAGTTAAGTTTTGGGGGAGTCAAAAGTTATATGCAAATTTTTGTGGGGGGGGTGGGTGGGGGGGTTGGTACCCAAAGGGTCAACTGTAATTAACTTTCTAAGAGCAAATAAATGGATTAAGGTTCAACTGTGAATACTTCATTCCTTTACATTCTGGCCACGAGCCCTGGCCCTCTACGTGTCTCCGTGTCTAATGTTCTCGAAGCTACTATTTGTGGTACTGCTCTCAGACGCCCGAACAGTTTGAAACATGTTACCGAACCCCCCACACCTGACAGGGCCAAGCTGCAAGAAAAGACTTCTAAAGTGGAGTCTCATGTTACCCGGGGAACCAGATTCTAAAGTCTGGTGAAAAGTCACTCTTACTTATAAATTACATTTGAAAGGAATTATCGAGAATTTAAAAGATAGTTTTACCTAAACAACCCTGTAGAGTTCACATGTCGCAGAGTTCGTATACCAAGTGTATCTGTTCGGCACATTCACGTAGTGAGTTGCTCACAGGAAGGGCAACCTGCAGCTTCTCGGCTCACCTCTGGCTCAGCCTCGCTACTGAAGCTGCGGGTCTTTCTTGCCCACCCTCTGGTCGGTGAGG